GGCCGAATATGGGTTGAATTCATGGATTGGGTGTTTTTTTTTTAATTCACCGCATATCATTTCATAAGTTTTTTAACTTTTATCTTTGCTTTTGATTTTTTTTTTATACCCTAGCGCACATGGGCACAAGGGTATTATAACTTTGTTCGCATAACGGTTGTTTATAACAGGCAAAACGAATTGAAAAACATAGTTATAGAGAAATGTATACATAAATGATCAGAATGAAAAAATAAATCGATTAAGTGGTGATTGTCTGTCCGTCTATGCACATGTGATATTGTGCTTGCCACATAAAAGAAAAACATTGAAAATAATTCAAATCGGACTAGAATTAAGCCCACTTTTCCTGTAACGGTAAATTTCAGAAATGCTTGAAACTTCGATATTTCGAAATTTAAGAACTCTAACTTACCCAAAATTGATACTAACAACAGTCCCTTGAAAAAAAGTAACATTATTATGGAATTTTGGAAAATGGGTGTGATGCCGTCCACATATGACTATACAAGTTTATCTCATTATGTCTAACTGAACATTCTATCGAAGATATTTGAAATAGGGATAAAACCACCCCTGCTTACCAAGTAACGGCAGTTTTCGGAAAGGCGAAAAAACTATATTTAATACTTGCGCTGGGTATCTAATATTCAGCTCCGGCCGAACTTAGATTTTTTACTTCTTTTTATTTAAAATTTTCTAATAAGATTTTGCGATTATTTGTCTTTCTATTTTAATATTTTTGAATACGAATTTCTGTTTTCACGCTGCATCTACATACATACCTCGGTTCAAATACACATGTACACATACATGCAAATGTGACCTTTATCAGTGGAAATACTTTAATCAAACATTTAATTATTCTATCTTTTATTACCTCTCTCTTTCCATTAATTTAAATGTTACGCTCACTCAGGACATATCTGCGACTCCAGTTCGCATTTGGAGTATGGCGGCGGTCTGTCTGTTGCCAGCGGTGGCATCGGTGGCGGCGGCACAACGCCATTACTCGGTTCACATGAAGCCTTAGAAGATGAAATTAAGCGCCTGCGTGAACGACTGCACACCGTCGAATCGGAGAATCAAGCGCTCAATACGAAGCTATCACAACAACAATGGGATTTAGAAAATCGATTAGCCGAAATTGAAATGCAAATATGTGGTGTCTCATCGACATCGAGTCTCGATCCGGAAAACGAAACCGAAGAGATGGAACGTAATCGTGAAAGTATCATATAACACGGGAGCGAGCTGCCCCATCAGTCGATCGGTATGATGTACATATCATGTTTTACATGACTCGCATTGTTGTTGTCGTTAAATGTTAAAATTATCGTTAAACACATGGAACACAATCAATACAACTACATACGCACTACTAGCACTGCAAATTTTACACTACCCCAACCATATTTTATGTACAATGTACAACTGGCACCGGTGGAGTGGAGCCATCTAGCAACATTGTACTTACTTACTTGCTTGCACCACATCATCAACTTTGTATGTATGTAGATACATTAGCAACCGTCAGCTGCTCAATCGATTTTAAAACAGGAAAACTATTTTATTTGTGTGTGTATGTATGCTTCGCAGCGAATCGCATGTCTATCTATCATTCAATTTTATATTCAGAAAATAGTTTGACCAAAGCTTTATATATACATACATTTATACACATGTACACTTGCCCATAATTGTACAAATATTTGTATGTGTATCTATGTAGGTGTATGCATCACAACCACCCACTACTACCAAACCAGTTGGTGTTATATTTCTCTCTTTGCATTGATGTGGGAAAACAACCAACAACAACAATCTGGCAACATTTTCAATTTCCGCTTGCAACAATGTTTTCATTTCGGATTGCATTGCATTGGCCTTTTGTCATTACCATCAACAAAGTCATCATCATCATCTGCGTCCGCATCACCATCGCCATCAATGTCAATGTTTAGAAATCGTCATGGCTACCTACCATTCTCGTTACTGTCATTATTCGAAATTTGAATGATTTTAAAAACTACTATACATGTGTGTGTCTGTGTATGACTTTCGAAAATATCACAAATATTTCTATAAATAGTTGTGTAATATTAGGTTACTTCTGATTTAAATAATATCAGAGACTGTCAAAAGTAAATTGTAACCAAAAAGCGGCAACCTATGTCTAATAATATATGTTACCTTAATAAACCTAGGAAAGTTTTCGAAGAATAAAAATGCGATAGTTTGTGTTCATTGTCCTCCAGACGACCAAATGCAATCTACAAAAAGTTGCGAAAGAATCACAAAGTGATTTATTTTGGAACGCATTTCTGTCATCCCCTGTCAAGTTTGGTTTGCAGACAAACCGGTTTCGACATTGTTCCATCTATGTCTTTCAGAAAGTATTTCATATTTCATTGTTAGACCTAAGGAGCTCGCAGCTCCTTTTTTAGTTTTCCGCTTATCAAGTTTTCTTGTTGTGAATTCAGTTTTTGCTTGATATCTGTGTAGATATTAGTATGAGGTATCTACGCCGTCAACTATCTACTTAGCGCTCTACTCTTGACAACACTTTTTTTATCAGCTTTTATGATTCGTCAAACCACTTGGACTTGTCGATGAATCTATTTATGTTAGTAACTGAGCATTTGGAGATCACCGTAATATTTTGGACGTAGAATCTCCCTGGTTTGTCATGCCTTAGGCGTCTCTAAAAGGTAGTGTAAGACCATTTTCTTTCTTCCCTATATGTCATAATGCTGTCATATATTCCTTGCAGTTTTACTGGTTTCAAGTGTTTTCCAGCGTGTATCAGCCACTCGGGCAAATTGCAAATGCAAATTCATGAGTCCAGGTGCAAAGTTTATTGTCTCCGCTTCGGATTCCTTAAGAGATGCTCCGACCTTAGCCAACACATCAGCCCTCTCATTCTCATGAATGTGCCTACCGCCGGGAACCCGAAGCAGAGAGACTCGGACGACGAGATTAATGCGCATTAGTCATCTCTGACTGTTTTAGACTTTGTTTGTCTTTTCGTACTTCTACGCAGTTTCTCACCAAAGATTTTTCATGCTCGGAAAATACCACGCCCCAACGCCGCAGTCCATCTTGGACCCAACATTATAGATTTCAATGGAATTCTCCTTGACTATCCTGCCCCTAATTCAATGCGGTCTAGAAAGAAACTTAATTTAAGAAATTTCGTGGATGTGGAGTTTAATATGCAGTTTATGCAGAACCACAGTAAACAGCATCAGTTCAGTTTTGTTTGGGTTGCCCCTAGGCCACTTTTTGTGGCCCTGGTGTGGAGCCTGAGCAAATCTTCGTCAATGATTGGCTAATCGTATTATATGCATATGGTATTACCTTAACTCCACCTCCTGTAGAGTGTCGTTTAAAGTCACAACCTACAGTAGCTGGGACAGAACTCCCACTTGGGGAGTGCCTCTATTTGCATAACGGGACAGTGTTGCAGAATCAGTGGTTGAAATTATGATTCTGTTTTTAAGCATCTGTGCCATCCACTTGCTTATGTGTCCAGATATATCCAAGTTTACAAGGGATTAAACAACTGCTACGATTGTAGTATTGTTGGAGGGCCCTCTATGTCGAGAAAGTTTGCTTATAATGGATTGATTCTTCTTTGGCAGCCACAACTTCATGAAGGTCAGTTTCAGTTGAACCGCCCTATATTTACGCATTTTAAACTTTTTAAAATTAGGAGTTTCCTAGAATATGCCTTAAGTGTGTAAGTTTAACAGTATTTGCAATGCCTTTAGCAGGAAGGACGTAAAACATTATTGGTCTAAAGTCTTTAGCTTTTTCGTGATTTCTTCTTTCCAGTTTTTCCAGGTAATTTAATTTTTTCTTTGTCTTTAAGTCAGGAAACTCTTTTGGCCTCTGAGCGCAGCCAGGAAAGTGTGTGCTGATGAGAGCTTCTAGTTATTCCTCCGCTATGTTTGTACATACACCGTCCTTTCCTTTAATAATACGGGGATTGGTGTGTTTCTTGGATAAGACTTTCCTTAGCCTGTCGGTATCCCTACAGTTCGCTACGGATATGCAATGTGACTGCGAATAATCATTTATACTGCTTTAATGCATCTTAGTAGGGCTGTCACAGTCTTTGCAGCTTGGTAAGCGATTACCTCTCCGTGGTCAGGGTAGTTCTTTAAACCCAGGCAACTGAACCGTAGGTGGTTGTACTTGCGTGGTATGCAGCTATCTTAGGGTCTTGGGGCTATTATCCCAGGATTTACATGACTGACCCTTGCACGCCATTAGGACTTTAATAGCTTTGCTTCATCCAAAGAAAGTCTCTTTAAATTAATTATTTAGCCATGCCTCGTATATTATAGGGGTAGGACAACCTGGTGACAAGCGATTAAAAAATTTTAACCTCTTTGAAATCGCGTTCAAACCTGCAGGACTGAGCGAGACAACTGCACTCTGAAACAATTTATGTTAGCGTTTGTAAAAGTCATTTGGGCGACCTCTGCTAGCGGCCATATAGCGGAAAACTATTGAACGGTAGCCTTCGAATCCAAGTCCGTGCAATTGCCACAAGTCAGGTTGCAAGGTTCTTGTATCCTTTGGACGTATATAACACATCCATGGGCCATTTTGAGATAATATCGAATTTATCAGAACTAAAGTCAAACTTTTGTTGCGATATGACCAAGGAACAGAAGATTGTCTGAATTTTCAAACGGCAATTTGAGAAAAATTTCTAATATCTATTCTAACACTAAAAATCTTCAAAGGTCTACTTGGATTTAAGATAGGATGAACCTTATATTCGGTCGGCTTTATGGTTTGATGTTAATATTTTTCAAGTATTCATTCTAGCATAGACAGTCTCTGATATACTTTAGAATTAGTGTTGAGCTTTAAATAAATTTTGAAATTCTAAATGTTAGTTAAATGAATGTTTACTATTTTCATCCAACAAAAAACCTTTTTGCTTTTATAAAAATAAGTTAAGTCAAACTCACACAACAACAACAAAATCAGCCACATTTCTTCATCCTTATATATGTATGTATGTATGTATGTATGTGTTAACAACAACATCAATACTACATAAACAGGAGCAGCGATAACAACAACAGCAGCAAACACAGCAAGAACACAAATCGATGCTAAAGTTTCAACTATGATTGCCACAACTGAGGTGGATTCCGCAAAATATTCGTGGTCACGACATTTGAATATGGCCACACAAACGCCACCTGCACGGCGTCATCAGCCATGCATGCAAGTGGATAGCGCTGAAGATGGCGACGATGATGATGATGATGATGACGATGACGATGATGATGAAGATGAAGCAGTTGACAGCAATGACAAGAACAATGAAAATGACAATTTGATTGAGTCGGATGCAGATGGCGAAGCTGCTGCTGCTGCTGCTCAAATTGGTGGTAATATTAGTGGTGCTGGGGTGACTGATGGTGGTTGCTGTAAGCCACATGCTTCCACTTCAGATGCTGCTAAGGCCAATGATCGGCATGCTGATCGGGCAGCTAAATTTTCGTCTATTTGAAAATTCGCCAATACCTATTTCAGGCTCATGTGCACCTAACATATGCATTTGTACATTTTGGTACATATAAACAGATGTATATACTTTCCATTCAGTGTATTAGGGACTTTCGGGATCCAAGTATTTGGCTAGCTGTCACATGATTTTATAGCTCAAACAGTGTAATATAAGTAAAACTTCACACACACACATCCACACTCGCCAATAAACGCATACACTAGGAACAGAACTCAAGAAAGTTGGAATAGCTTAGTGCTTTTGTGCGCTGCTTTTGATGTAACGTTCCCTTGAAACTCTAATAAAATTTTTGAGAGGAAGTTATGTTGACTAGCTTTGTAAAATTTTTAATTTTCTTTTATTTCACCATATGAGTAGCACCATTAAATTGAGAACTCTTATTAAAGAAATTATTGGGCATGGAGTTTTGTTTTCATTAAATTATTGAAAGCCCAAAAATTTTTTTTCTTGAAATGGGGGTTTTTACATAAAAACCGCGTACTTTATTTTTGGAAACTATATAAATTTATGACATTTTCAACCGAAGTTTCCAGAATCAAGCGCAGCATATATGAGCCAATCTCACGAGTTGTTACATTTTTCGACAAAAACGTGTTTTTGGCCGAAAGTGGTGGTACACCTATCTTATCAGTTTTGTATTACAGCCAATTTCACGAAAGTAATTTAAGTGAAAAATGATTTTAAATTTTTGAATTTTATATAGAAATTGACATAAAATAAAAAAATCATTTTTCTTTTAAATTACTGGTGAAACCGGCTATTAAATTATTAAAATTAAAAAACTTAAAATTTAAAAAATTACCAAAAACTGCGACAGATATTCTGCATGCTGCATGTGGCACACTTTTGAAACTTCACAGATATGTTGTATTTGATGCCGACGTCCATTTTCTATAATATAAACATTCTGCTTGAAAACTTCTAAAAGTTATTAAAAATACAACAATTATAATTTTTCCGAGTTACAATGAAAAAATAAGTAATTTCGGTACCTTTTTCGCTCAATACATGCTTTAAGGCTGAAATTGTTCAAAATACTTGATTTATTTTTCATTGTACTTGCTTCTGGAGCTCCATTGATCGAAATATTTTCAAGAAGAATGCTTTCGCTTTTTTTTGCCGACAGAAAAACTCGCGAGATTTGCTCATATACCGGGTTTTAGTATTTCGAAATTGACTAAAAGAAATTTTTCAGATTAGTGGCATTATTAGCACATATAGCTACATATGGTTTCTCTCATTTTTCAAGTGATATTCTCGGAGAGTTCTAGTTTATCAAATCTAATTTTACAATTTCTATAGAGCCCAAACTAGCGTCAATCAAGGAATAGAGAGTATAAAGCATACTTCTTTTGGATAAAGTTTTATTCAGGCCAAGAGAAAATCTAAGTCCGGTAATAAATATATGCTCGGGAAAACAAAAACCTTACCTTGGCGCTTTTCTTGTTCCCAATGTACAATAGGTGCTCAACTGTTTCTTTGTCATTTTTTTACTGAAACTTCATATGCGGTAGTCATTTTATATACATACATGTAATTTTTTTTTAAATATGTTCATATAGCTTTCAAAAAATGTCTCAATAAATGTTGCAAAATAAGCATAACTTTCCAGAGTTATGCAAATAAAGACGATTGGAACCGATAAGATAACTAGTACGTTACCTGTTTTTACTTAAAGTTACCAGCTCGTTGACAAATTTGAAGGAAATCGTCCCTTCGCCGTTGAAATATTGTTCAATCTTTTTTTCTGTTGCATGGTGCTATCATCCTTGCAAAAAAGTGTTCAGCTATCAAATACAATTCAAAGTTTAATACCGGTCTACTATTTATATAGGAATTCATTTAGCCAAAGCAGATGTTTTTAACATGGATGGCGCCAGAAAGCCAGTTTTAGTACTACTGAAACATAAGCCGCAATCGGACGGACAATAATGCGATGAAGTCAATCTGTTGCCTTTGAGCTCAGAGCCCATTTCCGATCCTAAATTCTCCTGCAGTTCCACATGGCCCGAGATGGGTTATTCCCAAACAGTTTACCTCGAAAAAACAATCAATTTCTGCTCTTATAAAGGTGATCAGGCTAAGGTTCCTTACAAATGGTTTTTGTGGGAGGCAGAATTACAGAACCTGAGAAAATGACAGCACAAAGTTAGCGCTCAATCTTGGGAACCCACAGTGTACAATTTATATGTAGTTCCACGCAGTTAAATCGAATTTCATTTTCCAGTCGGTTCTTAATAAGCGCAATGACCTACAGAACATTTCACTCGTGGTATGTGTCGGTATCTTGTGTAATGTTGGTAAGTAAGAGAGAGAACCCATCTAAGACGCTGATTGTTGGTTAAAAAATTTCATTAGAATAGCAGGTGATCATATATAGATATGGCTATCTAGGCGTTTTCCATAGAATAGCTAATTTTGAGGTAATGGTCTTCTGAAAATCGCATGCAATCTATATCTAGATCCTCAGATCCTTAGACACTTTTTGTGAGTAAATAACAATAAAACACTCTTTTTGTGCTTTCTTGCTTCGTAATTACATATGTATGTAGGTATGTATGTATAATATACAGGGTATCCTAGACCACCCATCCACACTTATGCAATGGACGAAAATGATTTTTATTAGATAGATGCTATATCTTTTGGTCGCATCAGCAACTTGTCGTTTCGACTGGAAATTGGCTTAGTTGAGGTGAGAAAGTTCTTTTTTTTTAATGAGAATTACAACTTTTTACCACAGTTGGGATTCTGCGGAAAAAATATGTATATTTTGATTAAAACTTTTTTCTCGGAAGTGCCTTTTTCAACCTCTTACGTTCGAACTTCCACTCGTCCTAGACTTTTAAAATGGACGAAAATGTTCATTGCGGATCTTTTGGTCATATTACCAAATTCCGGTTGCGACCGTAAAAAAAGTTTCCGAAAAAAGTTACCTATTTTTGTACGCAGGATCCGAATCAGTGATAAAATCATGCATATCCCATTTAAACAAATGGACTTCCGGTGAGTTTAACCTACTTTCAGTCGAGACCGGAAGTGGGTGAAATGACGAAAGGATAGAGCATCCCCGACTTAGTAAATCATATTTTTTTCTTTTTCCAATAAAAATAGCTCCGTTCGTTTTAAAAGTCCAGAATGAATTTAAATTCTAAGATCATTTAGGAAAAAGACACTTTCGAGTAAAAAGTTTCAAACAAAAGTTTCGTATTTTTGTCCACAAATCTTGGGGTTCCGGTAATTTTAGCCCACTTTCGGTCAAAACCGTAATACGATCAGAAAATAGAGCATGCCCGACTCGGTAGGCCATATTTTTTCGTTTTCTAATAAGAAAAACATAGCCCTCCATTTTAGAAGGCTGGACGGGTGGTCTAGGACCCCCCTGTACATACATATATAAAATTAGAAAAAAAAACGATAGATGTGTTTTTGAAAGCAATGGGCAAGAATATTACACACACATAAAGACAAAGATGCGCATTTGCTTCAATGAGATCTAACACTGCCATACAAAACAGTTCTCGCGATTATCGAAGCACTCGCGAATCAGCCGAGCACCAAAACAGCACTCGATTACTCCTGGTGCATACATAAATATCAATCGATTCACTACATAACACTAAACGATTTTTAATTATTTTTAGTTAATGAAACACAAAAATACTATACCTAAACAAAAACGCGTATATCTTGTAAATACTGTAAATAAAATCATTTTAGGAATTTTTCTAATTGGACAAACATTCTCCTCTAGAACACACTACCATATGCATATAAGCAAGTACAAGTAAAAGTGTATAGATTGGGCATGGCATATACATATCTACATATGTGTGTGTGTATGTTACAACGCCCAAATGCGTTATTGTGCTAAATTTGTATTTGTAACTACAAAAACAAATGGCGACTATGAAAATAGGTAAAATATCATTACTGTAAAAATTTACATTCTTAGGTACATATTTGAAGATAGATAACTTTGAGACAAATTCATAAATGTTATATAATTATAAATAGTGGTAAAACTTAATTGAGGAATTATAAAAAAATAAATATGATATATCTACTGACAAAAAGTTGACATCACAAAATTCATTAGAACTTCATTCAAATTCGTATACATCAAGCTAAATAATTATGTAATAAAAAGGTATAATAATAAATATAATGTGTATATTGGAAACGATTTACTTTAAACGCTAATAAAAAGTTCAGCTAGGTAATTAGACTTTAAGTAAAAAAATATTGTAAACTTAAAAATTTGTACTATTGGAAAAGAACTGCCAAAGAAATAAGTAAAATACAAACAAATTAAAAAATAAATATATAAATAGAAAAAAAACACAAAAATTAATTTAAAAAGTGAAGTAGTAAAAAAATAAATAAGAATAATAAATACTTGTAAATATAAAAAAGCAACATAATGTAAAACTGGAAATTGAAGCTTTTTAGCATTAGGGGGGTTCTTAATTTACAAACAAAATGGGCCAGTTCTTTATCTTGTTCTACCTACAAAATAAAGACTTCCGCGAAAATGTCAAAATTTTTAAAAAATATTTAAGGGTCACTATTAGAGTCTGAAAACATTAAAAAAACTTATCAGATTTCAAGTCAAAATTTTATAGAATTTTTTCAATTTAACATAATTAAATTTTTTCAAACCCAAAAGAAAACAGCGCGTGCGACCCCTAAATTATTTTTTTAATTTTGTAATTTTCGTGGTTGTATTTATTTTGAACGTAACATAAAATAAAGGGATGCTCCATGCAAAACATAGATGTTGATATTTTTAAGGGCCACCCTAGTATGCATATGTATATGTATATGAAAATTAGTACTCATTAAATGAATAAGTGCGAATAACGCATCAAATACAAACAGACATACTAACAAAAAATTTGCAGTTAGACTAGTAAACAAAAAATTGTGAAAAACATATTTAGTAATTTTAAAATACAAAATGTACCATAAAATTGCAAATGAAATGTCTACAAAAGAAATGGATAAAACAAACCAAACTGTGTATAGAACGGTATCAAGCAGTAGTTGCTAATGTGAGTCAGGCGAATTTTGTCGTTTTGTTGTAATTGTATGTAACGTATGCATGTATGTATGAAGTTTATAAAATTTTAAAAACTCGTAAACAATAACACATTTAGGAGAGCTAGAAAAAACAAAGCAAAAAATAAATAAACTAAAATAGAGATTTACGAAATTTTCAAATTATGTAGATAAATGAGGCTAGAACCTAAAAAGAATAAACCACTAAACAAAAAAAAAAGAAAGGAAAACAAACAGCTAAAAACAAAAACAAAAAAATATAAACAAACAAATAATGAACTACCAAACAAGGAATGCGCAAGCAA